TCAAGTTTCAGCTTCCCAATGTATCAATAAAATAGGGAGTATCCTGGCTGGCTGGAAGGCATGTAACATAAACTTGACTGATTATAGTTGTGGTTGCTATTGGTTGACTAGAAGCATGACCTCCACTCCAATAGCAGTTTTCAAACCAGGGGATCACCAGGGTGCTGGCAAATGCAGAGCCCAAGGCCCCGCTCCCCAGTGTCTGACTCAGTCAGTATCTGGGGTCAGGCTTAGGAATCAACATCTTAAATAAGAGCCCAGCTAATTCCCATGGGGGAAACACCACATCTAGCCCAAGGCCAAAGACACCCTGGGAAGCAGGTCTGCTTGGAGGAAAGCGTGTGGCTGTGCAGAAACAGGGCTGGGTGCAGTTTGAGACAACTGCCCAGTTGTGATTCCAGGTGGACTTTGTTAGCAGTCACAGCCAGGAAAACTGGCATATGACAGACACCTTTGAAGTCTTTGGTTTGCAGAACTAGTGAATAAATGACAAGTCAACTTTGTGCTTTCCTCCTGGAGGGCCGGAGTCCGGGCAATGGACTTGGCAATATGAACTGTATGGCCCTGGGTCCATGACTGACTATTGAGCATCTGTGAAATGGGAACAATGACAGCAGTTTCAGGACCAGTCACATGGGGTTATGGCAGTCACAGGAGGCCATTATAGTTGAGGCACTGGGCAAGGATCATGTCAGTATGCTGCTTTTTAAAAAAATCCTCACTCGAAGACATGTTTATTGATTTTTAGAAAAAGAGGAAGGAGAGAGAGAGAGAGAGAGAGAGAGATCAGTTACCTTCTGTTCGCACCCCTATCAGGGATCAAACCTGCAACCTAGGTATGTGCCATGACCGGGAATTGAACCCACAACCTTTTGGTGTACAGGACGAGTTCCAATCAACTGAGCCACCCGGCCAGGGCAGGACCCACTTCTTAAGGCTTTCACATTAGAGGTTTGGAGTCCCTTTGCTCTCTTAGTCACAGGAAAGCAGGGTCTAGGACAAAGAAAAAATGAAACTCAGTAAGTCCATCCTACTTGAGACCACACACATCCTGATGAGCTATTCCCATAAAAAAATAAGCAGCGGATCCAGGCAGGGAGTCTGGGTGTGCACCTCCAGCCCCAACTCTTTAATCTGTGTCTCAGTGGTGTTTTCATGTTCCTGATCCCAGCCTGGCCTCCAGGCTCCTCTCCCCATTATAAACGAGAAAGGAAAAGGAAAAAGTTAAGGCTATATGGTGTGTGTGTGTGGAGAGGGGTGAGGGGGAGGCGGGGCTGTGCTTGGAATCCCAGATGGCCAATCTGGCCTCAGCCCTGTCATCACCTACTGTGGTAATTTAGTCAGTATCACTAACTCCGACTTAGGCGCGTCATATCTCCACTGCAAAATCATTTGTTTGGGGAATTTGTGGTGAGCTCCAAGTCTCTCTCTTTCTCATAAATAATATTAATTTATGCTCCATTCCAGCCCTATCGGAAATGCAAAAAGACCTACTGTCCCAACCTCGACTATGAGCTCCCCAACAGCAGGGCCCACTGCTCTATCACCCCTGGCCCCGAGTTAAGCTCAAGGCAAGTATGGCCTGAAGGGGGTGAACCTGCTGTCCACTCTGCATTGTGTGAGGACTCTTTCCTTATCTGAACACACAGCCCAGCTTTTAACTGTAGCTTCAGTTTTGCTTATGGGGAGGAATGCCCCACTCTCTGACCTGTCCTGTGCCCCTCCCCCAACCTCCTCCTCAGCCCCACAGCCCCTCCACTACGTCAATGCGGAGGTGGAGAAATATTGAATCCAGGGGTTACCTTTTGCAGAGAACGGGAAAATGAGAAGCTCTAAATAGGACAGAGAAGAAATCTGTTTTAGAGTAGGAACCCTGACTGGACAGCATCAGGGCCGGGCGTGAGAGATTATGTTCCGAAGGACTGCCAGGTGGGTGTCCACCCCTCTTCCCTGGGAGACCCCTGGCTGCTTCCCGGGGGAGGGAACAGTGTGCAGAAGGGACAGCTCCTACAGACAGAGCACACAGCATGTCTACTTTGGGGTAGGGAGTTCAGGCTGCCAGTTCCTTAAAGATGCGGGGGCTGGATCCCATTCTCCTTAGAGGCTCCCAAACTCTTAGTGGGGTCTGATCCTGTAGGGTAACAATTTATTACCCATTGAGTTGCATTAAATTGAGCTGAAGTTGAGGGGGACATGATATAATGTGTCCTAAAACTGCCATAACAAGTAAGCACACACTTGGTGGCTTAATGCAACAGAAATTTATCCTCTCTCCGTTCTGGAGTCCAGAAGTCCAAAGTCAAGGTGTGGACAGGGCCCTGTTCCTTCTGAAGGCTCTAGGGAAGGGTCCTTCCTGCCTCTTTTAGCTTCTGGTGGCTCCAGGCATCCTGGTTCTAATCTCTGCTCCCGTCTTCACATGGCCTTTTCTGAGTCTCTGCTTGACCTTTCCTGCCTCTTAGAAGGACACTCTCATTGGGTTTAGGGCCTACTCTAACCATGATCTCATCTTGTTTCTTACCTGAATTATATCTGAAAAGGCCATATTTCCAAATAAGGTCATATTCTGAGGTTCTGGGTGGATGTGATCTTTTGGGAGGCACTATTCAACCCAGTGCAGACATTAAGTAGCAAATACCACAGCAAAAAGTGGTAAAAAAAAGGCTGTCAGGGGCTGGGAGACCTTGATCTAGTGACTTCTGTGGCTTAGTTGTCCTAGCTAGGGATGGCTTCCATTAGCATGTATGAGCTCCACTGTCAGCTGGGGGGGGGGGGGGTGGGGGGGGTCCATGCGGTACCTGACTCCCTTTTACATACGAAGAAACTGAGGCTCAGAGGGGTTGAGTGAACAGCCAAAGTCCCAGAGCAGGCTAGGGCTGGCACTGAAATCCAGGTTGGCTTGGCACCAGAGCTTGAGGATTTCACAGCCAAATTGGACTGGATTTGAGGAACCCCCAATGCTGGTAAGATCCCATTCTGAGGAACTTCGTTTATCAATAGAAGGCAAAGGTGTTAATGGTCTTGATCTTCATGTTCCTTCACTCCCTCATCTTGTAGATTTTTGAATGTGACTACTTCCATGGAATCACTCAAAAAGGTGAGGTAAAAGAGAACAAGGATTAATTCAATTATTTGTAATTAGTTTGGACTGGGGAAATAAGGCGGGGAGACCCAGCTTGCCCCTGCTACCTACATGGATTTAATACCCTTGGGAAGCTATCCTGAATTCCTGCTCCTTCCTACACTAACCAAGAACACCAGGGTGCCTCTGGGAAAATTTGTCCAAGATGTGGAGAGGGTGTGGAAAACAAATTTTCTTTTTCCCCCCAACTATGGCTCTGTAATGTCTGTTTTAAGCTCCCTAGGGCAGGGAGGGCACCACTTTGCTCGTGCCCTGCTCAGGGCTTAGAACCTGGCATATACCAGGCCTCCATAAAGTTTCGTAGGGAACGATGCATCCTTGATCACAAGACATCTAAATAAGGGCTTTAGACTAAGAGGTAGAGTACGGGAGGAATGAATTTCTTGTTCCTGGGTCTCAGTTTCCTTATTTGTAGCTGCTTGCAGTTGCAGAATTTAAAGGTGGTTGGGTGCCCCACCTTTCCCCAGCCTGTAATCCGGTGCCAATGCAAATGCCAGGTGAGGGGGCGGTTCACCTGTTCCTTGACCCCTGGTGGGTGTATCTGCATCCTCCAGGTTCCGGAGCCGAGGGAGTAACCCCCTGAAAGGAGGCTTACTTAGTGGAGAAAGCTTGTTCCCATCACATCGCCAAGGCAGGCCTACAGCCTCAGAAATGAGGGCGCCTGCCCTCTATGAGCTCACAACCTGCTCACAAGCCGCCGGGGCGGTTATTATTACCCTCATCTTCTGAGAAGGCGCCCAAGGCTCAGAGACCAAGCCACTTGCCCAAGGTCACACAGCTCAGCAGGCAGAGCAGGGATGGGGACTCGCGTTTCCGGAGCCCCGCTCCAGCGGCTTTTCGAAGACACCGCTATCTCCCTATTGTGACGCTCAGGAATAAAACAGGCCGGACGCCTAGCTTTCACAATGCTCCACGCAAATCTGTGGGAACAAAAGCAACCAGAAATCTGCCCCGGATTTTCCATCGCTCCGGCCCGACGGGCCAATCGACTCCGCCGGCCAAGGAGGGGCGGAACGGGGCGGGCCCAACGTGATCGACAGCACCGGGGGGCGTGGTCGAGGGGGGTGTGAATCTGGATTGGGGACCCGAAACAATCACAGGCTTAGAAGGGGCAGTTTGAGCCAATCAGCGGGGGGGAGGCGGGCCCTGCCGGCCTGGCTGTCGCGAGAGGCGACTACCCCTCCCACTTGAGCTTCGTCCCGGGGTCCGTCAGCTGCGAACACGGCCGCGC